ACCTGAACTGGCGTTTGAACAAAAGATATCTTTGGAGTCTCCTTTCGTCTCTATATTAGATAAAAGGTAAAGAATCTTAAATTTAGAAAAAAATGTAGAGATAAATTAGTGCAAACACAATCAAAAATAATTAAAATAGGAGAAATAAAATGGGTATATTACCAAAAAAATGTATCGAAAAAGGCTCAGCATAAATCAAATCTAGGGCAATTTTGATTGATCTTATTCATAAAATAGATTGTAATGAAAACATGGTAGCAATAATAGAATGAGTCCACATGATAAAACTCAGAATAGGCAGGATTGTTAAGAAAGAAAAATTAAAAAATGCCACAGGGAAAATGCTGTTGATATTGCCATTGAATCCTAATTAAAAGGGTTTGCTGAAACCAAATTCAGTGTGCCCTGAATTGTGTAAGTAAAAATATAAGTGAATTGACAATGTCAATTGGATACATGTTAACTCATATAGAAAACAACAAACCAGGATGTGAGCTTGCAACTTCAGTTCTAGAGTTATCGTAAGAGAAGCCAACAGCAGAATAACTCCCATGGGGAAACTCATCGGACCGCGCATTCTCTTCTGAATTGATACCAATATTAAAGAGAAAGTGAAGACGAGTAAGCAGAGATTCGTAAATAATTCGGTAAAGCTTAAGCAATTAGCAAATAACAGACAATCAGCTGGACCGCCATACTTTCACAATCACTCAACAGGAAGACAGTGTAAAGTTTATGCAGCAAAATTACATTGTTATATTATTTGGATCAATATTTTCCTCCTCGGCTGCCGAAGTACAAAACCAGGCTGGTATCCGGTCGGACATCCTGCAAGACAAAACAGAATCAAATCTGTGTATATTATGAGAAGTGTTTGACTAAAATGTACTCATTTGGAAGGTGAATTAGATATCAAGGAGAACGTTCGCATCGATATTGTGTAAAAGTGGATTTCTCAGAAGATAATTAAAGATTTAGAACAATTAGCAAGCTGAGAAAATTAAAGCTAACTTTAGATTACTTGGAGAAATTTGACGACTAGTCTGAAGGTTGTCATGGTTATTGGATAAGGCATGAGTAAAATGAGGGGCCAAACTAACTCTAAATGCAGCAAGTAATAGGGATAAAGTCAAATGATAACCAGCGCTAGAAATTGGGGAAAAAAATTAGGCATTGGTGTCTCGATATACGACCTATATGCAAGCGGATCAAAAAAAAATTATGGGATTGAAGCAGACGAAGAACTATGAACCGGCACTTGTATAGCAAAATGAGAGCAATATATGCAATAAATAATAAGATGTAACATACATGGCAGCAGATTATGAATGTAAGCGATGAATTGGGATGAGAGTGATCAAGTCCATATATGAAAGAGACTCACCAGATGGACGAGAGCGAAGGCAAAGCAATGTATCCTCGAAGGTCTTAAACTGTATCATTACAAAGGTTAAGCAAACTTCAAGCGGAAAGCGCCTTATGAGCCACATACTCACCCTCCTCTGAAACGTTTTCTGGAAGGTCCTCGCGAAGTTCAAGATATCGCTCATAATCGCATAGCTTTTCTATATCTTGTTCTTCGATAGAAAGAGATGGCGCACGTCTGAGTACGTGATCTGTGTCGTAGACGCTAATATCAGCTAGGTAGCCTCGGCAATCGTATCTAAAATTTATATAAAAGGTAAGAGAACAAATTCCAATTTCCGAAAACGAGCAATTAAATAGCACATGATAGTTTACCTGTCGATCATCAATCCTTTATCTCCAAACCAAGGAACGAGAAGAGATCCCTGATTGATCTCCAGAGATTTGAGTGGGTCGTCACAAAGCTTGCACGCCTGTCCCATAACGACCATATCGTGATCGGAAGAAGTATGAGCACGGAACTTGTCTACGCATCTGAGGCCGGCGGCCATTGCAAACTAAACCAGATCCGTATATTGCGCCAGGATTATAAAACAAGGTTAATTAAATGATTAATTTTCTATATAATTTTTTCATGGTATTGATTAATAGTTTATTATTTTTGTATTTTTATTAAAGAAATTAAGCAGCTATGGCGATATAAACTTTTTTGAGGATGCTTTTGCCGAAGATGTGAATATAGGGTAGTGTTGCAACCGAATTGGTTGAAGTCACCTTTCACTGTATAGGGTTTACTTGAATTCGTTTTTAAAAACCTAACCATATTTTAGAAATAGTTGAAAAAATCTGCCTAATCTTTATTTGTCATTGTCACATGTTTACGGGGTAGTTCCCTAAACGCTTATCCGATATCGTAGCCATTATAGTCATTGATAAGTTTCATCCTTTGCATCAGGTTGAAAATAATAAAAATAGCAGGTTAAGCCAAACCCAGAGCTAAGCTTCGAAAAATCACAGAAGGATCACTGTTATTGGAACTTGCTTATTTAGAAAAGTTGAAGGCAACATATTCGTAGATTAGCCTACCCAGAAACATGAAATATATGAACTTAAAGTAACTGGTGCAGATAGGTAGGAAGAAATCCATGTTACTCAATATTGAGACCTTCGTCAAATCATGTTAATATTTAGTTCGCAATGTTATAGGGGGGATGATTACGTTCTTTGAACAGATTCAGCAAGTATCAAGCCAGGAATAAAGGCAAATTGCACTAATATTTAGTTTTTGTAACTAAATTTTGTTATTTTTATGATTTCTCTCTTGATTTGTTTGGCGAAGTAATGCTTCGTCTTAAGTGTTTGCTTAATGAATTACTACGCCAATTCCTTCCCGCCACTATATACTTGACTATAAAGTTTCCATCCACTGTCAAGATTTTTGCTCAATTACTTTCTGTCTATCCTCCTGCTTTAATCATATATTCAGCCACTTACAAGTCCAAAACTTTTATTATTTATATACAAATTATTCTCTTTTAGGATAGCTTCGTATACGTGGGCAACATGCACATACTCACAAACATCTTAGCACCTAATGTAAATAAACTTTCAGAATATTCTTAAAAATATGGGATAACAAGGAAGATTGTAAGCCATTCTTTATATATTAATATATTATCTCACTTCCTTAGTAGTTCGTGTATCGTCTCAGAAAGCAAGTTGTGTTGCCCTACGCCTTGTTTTATCTTAGTGAATTACGTTTGGTGTCTGGTTCTTGTTATAACGCCAATTCTATAAAAGAATTGCGTCATTGACCTTAAAATACTACATTTTGTATCTTATCATGGCTTATTCCCATCCTTAACTCCTCATTATATGGTAACTCTTTGCACGATCATAGGTCGTGCTCTTGTTTTTTTAGATAATATCCTGTATTTTCTTTCTTGGAGTAGGCTTATCAGGACAATTAATTTTAATTATGGTCTTCTCTTTTTTTTATATACTTTTTATCTGAATTGGTATTTATATTCGGCATTCCCATTCACTAAAAATGTATCAGCATGATCCCGTTTATTCTACAAACTGAGACTTATATAAAATTCTAACTGCATTCACTCTGGATTAGGTATTGTATTGGGCATGTTTAAGGAATTTTTATTATCACGAGACACGATATTATGATAGAACTACAAAGATATTCTCACCGATAACTATTGTAAGAACATAATTTACAAGATTAATTGGCTTCTAAACCTCTTCGTATACACGACCACCAGTCGAAAGCAATTACATCCTCTCTCTGTAACTACATTTCCATTGCGCTCTCAGGTTCCCCTTTGTATAGCTTATAACTCAAGCGCTACTCATACTTTTCCTTTCTTTTTTGAAACTACTCCTACAATTTCTAACGTTTGCTTTGATAAAAATCTTAGCATTAACAATCAATTTTTACATTCACCGAAACCAAAGCAAAGCCCTCTAACGACAATGTCATTAAGTCCACTTCCACATAAATATTTAAGCAACTAAAAAGTCATTTTTCAAGCCTCCATAAATTCAACTTCGCTTTCTCATTTCATGCCTCTAAGTAACATCTCATCATAGATGGAAACTCTAAGCAGCATACTGTCTCGTTTTTTCAGTTTTCGCACTTTTATCAGGTCATACACCTCAATATGCTTTATAAAAACATCATAACTCGTCTATTCTTAAACTACTTAACCATACAACCTAGATACACAGCATGTTTAATTGATTCTTCTAAGTTCTATGTCGTCACAGGGTCTCGATTTCCTCTAACTCCGTCTTAGGC